GCATCCCCTGCTCCTTCCCATCCTCCTCCCTCCCCCCCCCAGGCCGCCATATCCCTGTGCCCCCAGTACACTCACCAGCAGGGCAGCAGTACTGGGACAAGGAGCGGGGAGCAGAGTCTCTTTCCTGCCCAGTCCTTTGTCTGCAGGCTGTGGTTCAGGGGCTGAGGCAGGCAGAGCCCAGGGCTGCCCAGGGTTGGCTCTAGCCAGGCTGGGCCCAGTGGGGTGCTGAGGAAGGGGCTCCCCAATCCTTCACACATCTGCAGGGAGCAGCCCAAGCCTGGCACACCATGTGTTCCAGCTGCCCAGCCCCAAGTCTGCAGAGCAGGCCCAGCCCTGTCCCCCTCCTGAAGCAAATAACCCTGTAGCTGGGAGAGGGGGACTTTACCCTTAGCTCCCAGGAGGTTCATGCCAAGGCTGGGAAGAGGCAGCCCCAGGGACGCGCGCATGCCTCTCCTGCTCCAGCAGGAAGCCAGAGCTGTGGCTCCAGAGTGCAGCTGTGCGCTGAGGCTGGAGCGATAGCATGAGCTCCCTGCTGCATGGAGAGGAGGGGCAGTGCTGAGCTTCTGCCTGTGTGCCTCAGGAAGCTGTGCTGGGAGGTTGTCGACCCCTAGAATCCTGCTGAGTGCTGGCGGTTCCTCCCCACTACCAGCTGCAGAGGAAATACGGGACAATATGCCCATTTAAAAAAAAAAAAGTCTGGATGCTGGGAACAGCCCTTAAAATACAGGACTGTCCTGGTAAAAATAGGACGGATGGTCCTTCTAATGTATGTACATCTCCAGTCTCATGTTTTCTTGCTTTCTGTTTTCCTCTTTTTCTCTTAACAGGTTTTCTCATCTTTTTCAAGTCTGGATTCACACTTGTTGTCATGGTGCATCTAGTGATTGGAATTGTGTACCATTCCTGACAACATGGCAAAGCTTTCTCATTGTTCTACTTGAGACTTGATTGTTCAAGGAATTGTTATGTAGCATGTATAAAATATTCCAAAACACAGTGCTGGGATCCCCAGGGTACAACCTAGAACTGTGGGACTACTTTACACCTTAACATTCCAACTTAAGCTGTTTCTCTCTGTGCTGTGCCAGTGACAGCTACCCCCTCCAGATGTTGTAATTAGGGATGTAAATATCTCTTAAAATGGTAAACAGGTTAAACCAATAAACTTATACCAAATAATTGTTGGCAGGCCAGCGCCCCGCCTGCCCAGAAGAGCCAGGCTGCTGTGATGCAGATGGGGCTCCTAGCCGGCCAGCTAGACTCAGCCAGGGCTACTTTGGTCTGGCATGGCTGTCTGTCCAGCTGGTTACCTGGTAAGCATTGTGGTAAGCCTAATGCTCACTGGGTAACTAGTTAACCTTTTACATCTCTGGTTACAATCGTTAAGCCATCAACATGTGGAGCCCCAAGCCCAGTTAAATTGCATGAGTCAGTCACAAACTATACAGAAAATGGCACCAGTCAATTACCTCAACAATATATAGTCTCACTGCACAAGACTTGGACAGTGCAAGCTCATTAATTAGTTTGCCACTTCCACAAAGGATAGTGTTTATGCAACAGCCCTTGTTAACCTAAGCTGAGATTTCCCGAGTATTTCAACCAAAACCACAATTTGAGGATGTAATAGTGTAGTCGATTAACAGATAAACCAATAAGCAAAAGTTTATAGGTTAATGCTATAGACTACATGCATTCCCCTCCTCCCCCAGTCAGTACATTTTTTAGCAGGGTGGCCAGCAGGCTGGATCCAGGACCTACTCCTGGAGCAGCTCTCCATTTAAAGTGTATTAGAAGGCAGGCAGCCTGGCTCAATTCTGGCTCGCGCTGGGTCCAGGAGCTCAAAATGCCCCCACTTCGCGGACAGGGTCTGCTGCCTCTGTCAGATGCAACAGCGCTGGGTGAGTGGCAGCTGGTCTGCAAGGGAAGCTGTTTTTTAAACTGGTTCCCCTTGCAGATCAGTTCCCGCCTGGCACCCCATGCCTTGTATAGAGGCAGCGGTGTGGAGTGGCAGGCAGCTCCTCGGGAGTGGAGCTGGCGCACATTGGCTGCTGACCCCACTCCTGGGGACTAGAGAGTAGTCGAATAACCAATAGGAATTCATGAGGTTAACTGACTATTCAATTAACTGATATTTAACATCCCTACCACAATTCTAGATAAAATATTAAACAGATTTATTAACTATTGAAAGATAGTTATATAAGTAGCAGGCATTGAGATCAAAGTTGGTTACATAAGAAATAATTCTACTTTCTTAAGTAAAGTTTGAATCTCACCCCACTAGATGTTTCAGGCAATTTACACAGGCTGGATTACCTTCCTAGAATAGGATTAGTCTACCTTCCTAAACTGGGACTCTGTTTGAAAACAAAATTTTAACTATCTCCTAAGCGTTGACATGGGGCAGGAGAGAGGCCAAGTGATGATATCACTGTCCTTCTTTTGTACTTTCTCCCATCTGCCTTGAAGATCCTTGCTGTGAGGTTGGGTTTGTTTAGCCCTCATTAGGTTTGTATAATCTTTGGATCCTTCTTTATGGGCAATTAGTATATGTCTGGCTAGTCCTGTTATAACTCTCTCTTGTCAAAAAGTCTCAGGAGTGGCTGTGTTAATCTGTAACTTTAAAAACAATTAATAGTCCTATGGCATCTTAGAGACTAACAAATATACAGGATCATGAGTTTTTGTGGTTAAAACCCACTTCATTTGATCCTATATATATCCTATATATTTGTTAGTCCAGTGGCATCTTAGAGACTACTCTGTCTTCTTCTCAGTTACTCGGTTGTTCCACTAGCTGTGTGCGTTCTTCACTTCATGCTATATTGTAGTTACAGACCTTCTATAAAGGTCCTATACACTTCAAACAAATGGTTTCTCATGCAGCCTTCATCACTACCCCATCTAAGCAACACAAAAGTAATGTTACTAACATCTATCAAATGTCACTCATTCTTTCAACCTCCCCCTCTCCTTTTCCAAAGGGAGCAATGGAGTTGCTGAGTACTGTCCTCATTCTGGAATTTTCTATGGTGTTAGATATTCTGAGTACAAACCATTGAATGCCTTGAAGATAAGGATTAGATTTTTGCACTTAATATGTACAGTAATGTAATACACACCCCACATTCTTTGTAATCACGTTATAATACAAAATCTTAACTCTTTAATAATATCCATGTCTTTATATACATCTGTGCACCAGCGAACTGAATGGTGTGACATCTCCCATGATGAAAGAAATAAGGGAGAGAATCAGAATATAGCGGGGAGACAAAAAGAGGGAGGAGAAGCAATGTTCCCTTTATATTTTTTTCCATCCACGTACAGAATAAGTGATGTTATGCACACCAAGGCATGTGCAGTAGAAACACATGTTGTTGGCTGTGGGCGCTGTGCTAATCAGTTGGGTGGTCAACCAAATGCTCAGCTTACCTACTCTTCAATGTTCCCTGTATGTGGAGGACAAGGAATTAAAACAAAGCTGCAAAAATGGCTATCTTAGATATACAGACCTTTTGAGAGAAAATAGGGGCCTAGTATATTGTATTTGCCCCCTTCCCTTTCATCCCAGTTTAGAGACATCCTCTTATTTCTTCTTCTTTCATCATCAGTTAGTTAGTTGAGCTTACCGCACTTATCAGAAACAAGGAGGTACTTGTATTCTGGAATCAGTGTCCTCATATGGAGCTATTCAGGAAAAACCTGAATGACTCCATGGACAGACCAGCCTTAACTTTTGCATGAGAATTCCTAATTTTGTTCTCTAGCTGTAAGAGTTTTGTGTATGCAAAATATCATCTTAGCCAAAAGTTTAAAAATAATTCTGGAGAACTTGCCAGATATTTTAGCTTTCCAAGCTTTTGATTTAAGCAGATTTCAAAATGTGTTAATTTCCAAACAAGTGCTAAATCATGGAAACTATTTTGTTCACACTTTCACAGAGCTGTAATTTGTGTTAATTTGTATGCAAAAGTTAAGTGATTGCTTTAAAGATTGCATGTTAACAAGCATTCAGAACTTGATTGGTTGTTAATGCTGGTTGGAAATTATCTGCTTAATAGATACCTCATGAACAACACTATCATATTATAGTTTGAGACAGATTTTAAAATTTAAGAAATAAGTATATTAAGCAAAGTTGTTAAATAGACAATATCCTTGAATTTTCAGTGCTGCCTGAAATACTTTACTCGTTTAGTTTGATCCAGCTTACGTAGATGAACAAATGTTAGTAAAAATGATCAAAAAAAGCTTTTGTAGTCTACTCACGTGAAATTCCCTCCCTAGAAATAAGTTCACAAGGATAAAAGTAACATGAGTTGTTTGCACATTTAAATTTATTTTTATTTGTATTCCCTTGTATTTATTCTGGATTAGAATTGGCAAACATTTTTACTAGTATTGAACTCCGATAACTTGATACAAACTAGGCGTAGTGTAATTTTTTAAACAATATATACTTGGTGAAATCAATAGCTAAACTCCCACTGACATCAGTGGGAGCAACATTTCACATTTAGTCTCCAGTGAATGCTAGAGCCTTTTGCTTATTAAAGGAGCAAGTGCTGGTACAAGTTGAACCTGTCTAGTCTGTCACCCTCAGGACCTGACCAGTGCTGAGCCAGAGTATTTGCAGAGCCATGGGAGGTCAACATTGTCTAGCAGCGTTACCAACAACACTTCCACTGCTTACTGGGCTTTTAGAAGACATATAAGGATAAATTAGAACTAAATAACGGCACAGAATGCTGAGAGCCAGAACTGGTGGCTGTAAGCAAACTATAGCATCATGGGAAACTTGGTCATACTCATGGTAAGTGGACAGTGGCTAACTAAAATCATGCCAGACCATGGATGTTGCCGGACCAGAGTGTGCTGGACTAGAGAGGTTCAACCTGTGTAATTTTTTCCTGATCAACATCTGTTGTGTGAACAGTGTCAAATACAGTTCAGTAAGTTTTAGAGGCACTTTTTTTTTTTTTTTTTGGGTTTAGGAAATGCTGCAGAGATGAACTTGTTTTTGGATGATCCAGAATTTGCAGAAATTGTGCTGAGAACAGAACAAGCTGTAGAGTGTGGAGTCTTTCCAGAAAGAATTTCCCAAGGATCTAGTGGGAGCTATTTTGTCAAGGATCCAAAGGGAGTAAGTATATTATTTATCTATCACACACAGTAAATACAACTTGTTTTATTTGAAAAGGTGGATGAAATTGACTTTATCTATGGTTGTTACCCAAACCAGTTGCTCCCTTAAATAAATGGTACCATGTTGTTTTGTTTTATTTTATTTTATTTTATTTTATTTTATTTTATTTTATTTTATTTTATTTTATTTTAGTTCATTAAGAGCACAGATGGGGAAATCATTTTGACCAGGTAGCTTGCCTTGTTACTACATCTTACAAAACAAGATAAGCTGAAGATAATTCTTTATTCTGTGTGGTGGAATTTATTCAGACACACTGAATGGCTGCTGCTAATCAAAAGTATATGGGAAATACGTTCTCTGTTGTTATTTGAAAACATGTCAAGGATTCTTACCTTGTGCAAAACTATGATGATCTTTTCTTTCTGTAAGAGGACATCATAAACTTCATAACATTAAAAAACTTGAATGTATTGAAATATTTGATAGCACACTATTTTAAATATCTTTACAGAGGTCTTTCAAGTTTCTCTCTTATTAAAAGATTTTTAAGGATTTTTCTGCTTCCATGCTGATATTTTGAGACTATTCTGCTTCTTACATTTTAGTTTTATTTCTGCCTCTCTTGTTAAATTGTATCTATATGGATAAACAGAAGAAGTGGTCTAAGTAAAAAGGATAACATTCAATAAGGACAAATGCGAAGTTCTTCATTTATGAAGGAACAATCAGTTGCACACATGCAAAATGGGAAATAACTGGGTAGAAAGGAGTACTGAGGAAAGGGACACTAACTCACAGGTATCACAAGCTAAGTGTGTTCATTAGGCATGTCAATGTGTAGACTACATGTTTAACCGATAACCTTAATCTTATTGGTTAATCCTGTCAACTATGCATATCACCCCCCCACGTCCTCCCACATACCTTGCTGCCTCTGTATCAGCTTTTAAGCTTGTTCCCCACAAGCACCAGATCTGGCTGCTCTCTCTCCTCTTCAGCGCTGCTGTCTCTGATAGAGAGGCAGCAGCACAGCGGGTGGGGGGGGGCCACGTGAGAGCTGATATTAGCAAGAGGCCAGCTTTTAAGATGGCTCACCATGCATGCTGGCTCTGCGGACCTGCCTGCCACCCCCCTCCGTGTTGCTGCGTCTATCAGAAGCAGCAGAAAAGGGGGGAGGGCAGGGGAGGCTGTTGTGGAGCAGCCTCTATCCACGGTGGGCCTGGACTCGTGCATTTTAACATCACTATCACAAAACCTCATACCTTTCGTTCCTAGTACAACATGTATTTTTTTTCAATCTCATGTTTTTAATATAAATACCTATTAAGTGTGTGCATATTTTTTTAAAGACATACTAAAACAAAATAACACAGTGCACACAAGTTGCCCACCAACCCCCATTGCAGAGAGGAGGATGAGAAAATGGTCTACACTTGACAGATGTTAGTTATGACACTTACTTTACTTCTGAAAGGTAGTCAGTTACTGTAGTGAAGAAGGTGGTATGAAAACTTCTCTAGAAAAGAGATTGGTATGGACTGATGCATTTAGAAAATTCATCCAACTTCTGACACCAATCTCCTGAACATTGCGATTACCAACAGAACAATTCCTTAAATAACTATCTGATTGTATTTCATATTACTATGATTTAGCTGATCATCAATCTAAACAATTTATTTTGAATGCCTTGATTTTCAGTTGGGTTTGCATAGGGTGTTTTGGGAGGGGGCAGGGTTGAAGGAGATCATTCTCTACATGCTGAATATTGTGCTTGATATGCATGTCCTATTAGGAGTCAAATATTCACTCCTTATTTATACACTACTGACATTTGGCCTTGTTGCCACTGCATTTTGGATCTTTGTACTTTCACGCTTTTGGAAAAATTCTTAGTCTGTTTTGGATTTTAGGAAGGTGGTCATGCACATATGACATGATTAAAGAAAGGGTTTAGCAAGAATTATTACATTTGGCTTACAGTTTAGCCTTGTTCTCCCTGCAGTCTTTGTTGGTCAGTTGAGGGTTCAGTCCAGATCCATCGTATCTGTTGCTGTGCTTCTTGAACCCCTTAGACACTCCTTTGTCAACTATTCCTGCCCCTTTCTTTTAGGCTGGCTTTGAAAAAGAATTTAGGTTTGACATTTCAGTGTTATATCAGCTCACACCAAACTAGTTTTGGATTAGGGATGTGAATAGTCAATTAACCAATAAGTCTAGTCTTATTGATTAAAGTAGACTACGTGCATTCTCCACCACCCCTTGCTGCCTCTATATCGGAGGCAGCAAGGGAGTACAGGAGCTGGTTCCCCTCAGCACTGTCTCTGCAGTGCTGCTCGTTTCCCCATGCTGCTGCCTCTATCAGAGGCTGCAGCACTGTGACGGGAGTAGGGGAGGCTGTCATGAAGCAGCCTCTGCCTGTGGTGAGCCCAGGCTTGCTGCAGGCAGAGTCTGCTCCGCATCCTGCATATAGGGGCTGCTGCCAGAGCAGCCTCTCTTTGCAGCCAGCCCCAGCCACTGTGGTCAGGGGCTGCTTCATGGCAGGGACCCCCTCCAGACAGTGCTTTGTGGACCTGGCAAGAGCTGGGGCTCAGCAAGCCCAACTCAGTCCTGGCTTGTCAGGTACAGGAGCTACCCCCACTGCAGTTTAAATGTAGTAGGAGCTGGGTGGGCGGGTACATTTACTGCAGAGCTGGTAGGTCCCAGACCCAGCATGAGCTGGTACTGAGCTAATTACTCACTTCCTGACATCCCTATTTTAGAAGTTTTTTCCCCTTCCTCTGCA